CTTAGCATCCACATTATTCCGACGAAAAGGTAGATATAGTGTCCTCAGTACCTGGTCTGGCATAAAGCCTTGTTGACGCGTGCTGGTGTCTCACTCCACACGAAACAGGCTTCAGTAATTCTGATATGTGGTTCCTCTAGAGACAGTTTCTAGAGGAAGCCACTGCAGTCTGATTGCCATCCCCTTCAGTTCATAGCATTCGAAGTCACGACAGTTAGTCTACGGGCGCAGTTGCTGACCTAGTCCGCATGTCCTTGACCCACTTCTTTGGGGCACAGTAATGTTGCTCCATCTGGGGACCGATTACGTTGTGGGCCTCAAAAAGGTTAAGGGCTAATTTTATCTATACATAAGCACACACGCACACAGGAAGATCTAATCTCGTCACTATTTGATTAGGGCTAAACTCACACTTCAGCAGTTGAAGAACACGCAAAAGGTGTAATTACCGTTTATTTATTCTTGCTGGAAGAATATTTCCGTAGATGCCATTTTATTCTGCCCGACTGAAAAAAGGTTATTGAAAGCATCAAAGTCGCCCTATTTCAACTCATTAAGGGTTCTGGAGCGTTGATTTGTGGCCGTAGATTGGCTGTGCTTTCTGTCTTCTAAGTGTTCATAAAAGGCCAACCATGGATTTGGCTGTATGTGTGAGAAAACGCGCCTGGACTGCTTAGCACAATTCGATTGTCTGCATTCAGCTGGCTTGACCTGCTATGCCCAGCACGGTCACGTTTTCCTTTCTTTCCATCTTGTTTCGGTCCTCTCTAACACACTAACATTAATAATGGTAAAACTTCGATTTCCAGGCGGTAAATCAGAGGGAATAGGAGCGTTCACCGTGAGAGTTTTATTGTACACCTGACGTTCCGGGTAGTTTTCTCTCTGGGACCTTTTCACAGCAAATGGCTATGCACTAGAGTTTATTGAACGCACTCGAATGCCACCAAAAACGCGGACCAAGGAACCTTGCCCATAAAAGTCGTGGCGGAGCATCCCGTCCATGAAAGGGGTCTCCGAAATCGTGGCTAGATCCCTCGCACCTCTCGGAATAGGGGTTGCCCACAAGCCTACCTGCACAATCCGGCAACAAGTTATGCGACCGAAAGACCTTATACCTAAACAGGGGAAGTCTGGCGTCTTCTAACCATTCATTG